CCACAGGACCACCTTGCCCAGGCATGGCACTGCCCACAGTGGGCTGGGTACGCCCACAGCAGTCATTAATCAAGCAGTTGCCTTCTGGCCATCTCCACGGCCAACCTGTTAGATTCCTCATGGAGGCTTTCTCTCCTCAGGTGTCTCTAGTCTTTGTTAAATGAGTAGGAAAGATGAGACATTTTCTACTGTTTGAAATGTATGACTGAACATATTATCATAAATAAAGCTTTCCCTATGAGGAAGAAAGGAAAGGAAAAATAAAACCTTAGGTTATGAAATTGAGAGTTGGTGGGTAGGTCTGTGTAGTTTGTACTTTTACTGCTGATGGTAGCAGTCTGGTAGGGGTTTTTGTTGATTTTAAAGCACTGTTCAGCCTACACTGAGTTTTTGTGAAACACACACACACACACACACACATCCTTAAGTTTACAATCCTTCTGCCTCAGCCTCTAGTGTGCTGGGATCGAAGAGTGCATGGCCATGCCTGGGCCAGAAGAATGTACTTCTGAAGATGTCTGTAAGGGTACTTAGCCTTCCAGCTCTCCTGGCATGAGTCACTATTTCACGAAGTGGTCTGGGCTCCTATCACTCGACCGACCCAGAGCACATGGGGAGTCACAGCTGTGCTGCGTGCTGTCAACAAGGCAACTTCCTTCTTGTTCTCTGGAACACCTGCTCCTGGAACTCAACCACTGTGGGGAATTTGCAATTCATGGAAAGGCCCACGAGAAGAGAAACTGAGTTCATTGCCCACAGACCTGGCTGATCGCCCAGCCAACAGGTAGCTCTGATCTGGAAGCCGCGTGAGAGAGTCGCGGCTAACAGTGTGGCCGACAATGCAAAGAGTAAATAAAAGATGCTTCTGGCAAGCCACCAAGCCCCGTATGCAAAGGTGTTTAGGAGCAAAAGAGATAGCTCCTGTTGTGCCTAGCATGCTGTGTGACACTGCCACTACAACACACACACACACGCTCGCATGCACGCACGCACGCATGCACGCACGCACGCACACACTGCTTGTCTAACTCCATTGGTTCAGGGTTGCTTACATGGAGCAAGAGAGAATGAATCAGATGTTTTTACCCACCAGTAGAGTGACTTCCTAAAACAAGCTGTTCAAAAGTCTTCTCAGGACAGGGTGAGGGAATTAGTGAGTATTTAACTGACCAACAATGTTAGAAGTATTTGTCAACTATGTTAGAATTCAGTACTCTTATTTTCCATGATAAGGTAGACCCAGACTATATGACCCAAGGGAGCTCTCTCTCTCTCTCTCTCTCTCTCTCTCTCTCTCTCTCTCACACACACACACACACACACACACACACACACACGCTGCCCCTGCCCCCACCCCCACCACCGCCCCCCACCGCCCCTCCACCGCTCCCACCACCCCCACCATACCACCACCACCACCACCACCACGTGAGTCCTATAGTGGGTCTTTGACATAATTTGGAGTTTGCGTCCTTTCCACTGTGCCAAGTCCCTTTCCAACAGGATTCTAGGAACAGTAACTACAAGAAACAGACCAGGTAACACATGGCTGCATGCTTCTACTCCGTTCCCGTGCCTGGGACGGACATCATTAGCTCAGTGCAGCATACTCTCCTAAATTCTCTGAGATGCCTAAGGAAGATGGGTTTCAAACTGTTCTTGCTGAGTGTCTGAGTGAAATGATTCTATGGCAGAAGTGTGTGAGGGGCCCAACAGCAGGAGTGTGTGAGGGGCTGGGTACCGCACAGTGGGAGTGTGTGAGGGGCCCAGTACCGCACAGCGGGAGTGTGTGAGGGGCCCAACAGCGGGAGTGTGTGAGGGGCCGGTATGGCACAGCACCCTGCTGATGGGAGCTCAGCACATACACGGTAGTAGGGCTGATAGGAAAATGCTGACTGAGCAACAGGGATGGTTCCAGAACGATTGCTCTGTTGAGAATGCCTGGCAGAAATAACACACAAACTCCCTTCTGACCGAATCTAAGGAGTCACACTTCTCATTTGCTTGAGGAGTCTTAAGGTCCTGGGATACAATTTCTTTCAGAGCCTTATCTGTTCTGTCTTTTAAATTGTGTTTATGTGTGTACACACGTGTGGATGCAGCACCTTCAGAGGCCAGGAGAGGGCACTGGATAGCCCAGAGCTGGAGATACTGGTGTTTGTGAACCATGTGATGTGGGTGCTGTACAAATTTGACCTCATAATTCTAAACCATTCAACTCTGGGGAGGGGGGGGGAGGGATTCAGTATTAAAATCATCCACTCTGTTGGTTCTACTATTCATAGCACACTTAGCTATGTAACAAAAAAGTTGAGTGTTTTTAGAGTATGATTACAAACCTGTGGCACTGTAAATGTGAGGGCCACTCACTATGAAGAGAATTCAAATTCACACAATCACAGATCAAGAATGGAAAGTCTCTGAACTTGACCAAGGGAACACATATCTCTGTAAATAACTGTCACTTAATCCCTAGGAACCAATTCCTTTCCTCTGAGCTGAATTCAAGGGTTTCTGAATAGGAATGAAAACCAAAACAAGCAACCATGAGTTCATTTGTTTCTTTGTCCTTCCAGTACCTAGCAGAAGCTCTCCTGCTGAATGAGGCCCTAGAGATGAGGGTAAAAGGCACCAGAATTCTGTCTCTGAGGGTCTCCGTATGTTCTGCTAATAGTGCAGGGTTTGAGACTATGGATGGACCTAGTGAGGTAGTGAGTCAGAGATCTAAATGTCACTGTGGCACCTCAAAGGATCACCAGGCTCAATTCTGACAGCCAATTTTCTACACAGCCAGTAGCACCAGCAATGAGCTGTGTGTGTGTGTTTCTGTGTCTCAGTGCCTGTCTCTCTGTTTCTGTCTCTTGCCTTCTGTATCTGTGTCTCTCTGTCTCTCCTCCTTCCCCACGGGGATGTCTCTGTGTCTCTATCTGTTTCCCTTCCCTCTCTCTCTTCTCTGCCCCTCCCCCACGTCTCTGTATCTCGGAGTCTTTCTCTTCCTTCCCTCTTTCTTTACTCCGTCACCCCCCACCCCCACCACACACATGGGTTTCCTCATCTACGGAAGCATCAGGAGCTGTGGGTGTGAGCGCATCCACACACTGCTCTTGGTGATGAAAATCTCACGGACTCTACCTTCTCAAGTACAGTATAGGCTTTGTCTTAAAGGTAAGCCTTCTTTTCAGAAAACTAAGCACCAAGTGTCACAAAACAGAAATATAGTTAAGGGGTGGGTTTATTCGGACAACAAATATTTCTTTTTAGTACTCGAACTATTTGACAAGGTTTCTGTCCACATCAAACTTTCACAAATCACCAAAGATCATTAAATTTTTTTTTCAGGCTTCGTAGCTTGTATTCTGGAGCTGTTGATGTCCGTTTCTCCTCTATTCTCTAGAACACAATCAACACCCCAGTGCTTTCCACTAAGTTTCCCCAGATGCTTGTTTTTCAACATACAGTAAAACCCTTTACAGAGTCCTACACTCTGGTAAGTGCTAGTGCGCAGGCTTAGGAAAGAACCAATGACAAGAAAGGAAAACGGGCTTTTTGGCGTTGTTCTAGTCAGGTGCCACATCCAGCAGGACTCCACGTAACATACTGAATCTTTAGGGGCCTCGGTTTGCTTATCTGTGAAACGGGAATAAAATACAAAGAGGCAGGCTGAGGTGGGAGCTGTAGACATATAGGCACTCCCTAAGTACCAGCTTCCCTTTGCTTCCAACGATATAGTTTAGGATTTGTTACTAAAACACACCATCAGAGACTAGACAACTCAGGCTGCAACCACCCCTTCCTGACGTTTTGATATGTAGGTCTGGCACTTCTTCATTTTCTTCTTAAAGGAGAAAAAGCACCAAGGGTTAGGGAAAGCAAAACTTTGCGGGGAGGGGGGGAGGGAGCAAACATTTCATCATCCTGGTACCTCCCTTTTCCACATCTGTGGTGGTGTGGCTTTTACACACAGGCCACATTTTCTTCCCAGTCCCACGCAGGGCGCCGAGTTTGGCCTCCTTGTCTGCTGGTGTGAGTAGATAGTATTCCAGGTGATTTTAGGGAGCAGCTGACAAGGAGGGAATGGAAGGCTGTGGGCTGTCAAAGCTCTCCAGATAATCCTCAAACCCTTCTCCGGTGCTGCAGTCCTGTTACCCTGTGCTGTTTCTTTAAATTGTTTGACGTCAGAGAGGGAACGCTATAGCAACCGTCTGTCAAAGTGGAATTAACTCCGAAGAAAGATGGGGGTGGGGGCAGGAGCAATACCCCTGCAGAAGCAGCAAATTGCTAGGAGACATTTATTTTATGACATTTTCGGTATTAAACACCCAGAGAAATGTGAACAAAGTCGCTTGAGGTGCACGTGGTGTTTAAGGGTGCTGCGGAAGGCCTTCCAGGCATCAGTGACAACACAGACTAACTTCCAAGAGCTGTGAGCACTGGTTTGTTCATAAATGTTTTCAGCACCTTTGGGGGGTGAGGGGGCCGGTACCACTAGCTTTATGTTCCCAGTGAACCTCGGGCCTCCACCGACGGGTAAGTCGGGCGGCTAGGCTGGACTGATTTCGGATTTCACTGCTCTATAAGCGCAGAAGGCATCTGTGGCTCTCCTGGCTCAAGCCTGCAGCCCGCCCGAGCAGAGCACTCCTGGCCAGGCCCCGCAGCGAAGAAATCCAGCACATTCTTTAGACGGCGCGTCCAGAGGCACACAGATAAATCGAAACTGCCTGGGATGAGCTTTCCGCTTGGCAAACCCAGCAGAAGCAGCACGCCGTGCCCGCGCCCACCCGGTGCACCCCAGCCCAGGCCACGCGCCCCCACCAGCCCCTCCCCACTAAGCCACAGGCACCCTTGGTCCTGCGCGCACCAAGCAGCCTCCACCCAGGCCAATCGCGCTCTGGGTTCTACGATCCCCTCGAGCGCCCCCCGCTCGCCCGCCCCGACCGCGCTCGCTCCCGCCAGCTCCCACCCAAGCCCCGCGCGCTGCAGCCTCGGCGCGTTCCCAGACCCTTTCCCCGGCCTCGCGCGCCCCCGCCCCCGCCCCGCGCGCCGCGCCCCGGTCCCCGCCCCGTCCGGCGTGCAGGGCTCTGGGTGTGGCCGCCGTCTCGTGTGGCGGAGCCTGCTCACGGTTCGCTCCCCGCAGCCGAACACCCAGCAGCAGCTCGGTGGTGGCAGCCCGGCTCCAGGTAGGTAGACTACCGTGTGGACGCGGGCGGCGCTTTGCGGGTCTCCGTGTAGACGCGGGCTCCTAGGCGCTCGACGAGGCCCGGGACAGCTCGTGGGTGCGGCCGCCCGGAGAGCTCAGATGGTGATGGCAGCAGGGCGCGGAGCCCCCCAAGTACTCCACGGGCTGCTGGATCCTTGTTGGATTTTGTTTTGTCTTGGGGGGCTTTTTGGTTTTTTGGGACCGATACGATGCTCTCGGCTTAGTTATTTTTAAAGGGGGGAGGAACGATAACGGATTTTGGTTATTTGCAAGTTCAGAACAGGAAAAAGCATTTCCTTGTCTTCTCCCAGCGTCTCCTTCTGCTTCAGAACGCAGATGATTGCCGTGTACTGTGTGTGGCATGCGTGTATTGCTCTCCACTAAGGAAAGACTGCATTTTCAAAGTTGAGAGACGGCTTCGTAGCAGTGCTGGGCGATTTTGTTTTCTCTGCTCCTCTCTCTTTCCCTCTTTCCATAAAGGGCAGAAATGTAGCCTGGTGTGGACCCGCACCCTACCAGGGAGTTGTCTTAAGACTTCGAAATTTATTAGGCCCTTTCAATATCGCGAAGTGAGACGGTGACCTGTATTTTCCAGTTTATCTGGATATGATGTCTGACACATGCTCCTGGAAGAAGGTCTCTTGCAGGGGTGGAGCAAACTGTATAACATTTGGTCTCTGCCAGTGTTCGTTGCTGTCTCTGAAAGTTTACTGTTGTATTTTAATATTTTGATTAAGAGCATTTAAGGGGTTTTCATTTTGCATTTGGGTTTGCTGAAACCGAAATAGAAACTTAAAAAATGTCATATAGTGAATATTGCCAGGTCCCCTTGTGTCTGCAGGTTCTTAGACGTTGATCCTGTGTGCTGTGCTTCGCTTGACGGCGTGCCTTAAGCCTGTGATCCGCGTGCCTTAAGCCTGTGATCATTAGACAGGAAGCAATTTTGAGTTGTTGGTCTTTTATGAATAAGCATATCAGTGTATATTTTTACACTTTAAAAATAGATCCTGGGACACTTTCAAAACTAAGAATGGAAGCCGAGTATTGGAGATCTTTATGCCATTACGACAAAATGCTGGAGATTGGATGAATTCCCTGTTTCCTTTCAGGCATGTTATTTAAGTTGGGTGACTTGGTTATTAGTTTCTTTACCTCGCTGACTAGTTTAATCTAGTTTATTGATGGAATTATTCCCCAAAGCTCTGTCCTGGCCCAGGGGCAGTGAACTGTGCTATTCTGTCATCTCTCGGTCACTTCTGAAAGGACACATTGCACCTTCCACAGGCAAGGAGATGTTCAATAACTCGCTGAAATCTTGAAACTGTTAACTCTGGTTGGATTCAGGGCAAGAGCCCTCTGACCGCAGAGCGCCTGCTTTTCTCTCTAGAATGCATTCATTTAGTTCTAGGCTCAACGAGCGAACCTCAGCTACTCATTAATGTATACGTAAATTTCCTAGACATGTCAGAAACCTGTGCTGTTTTTCTCTGGTGTGATTGGTACCACTTAGCAGTGTGACTTTGTACAGCCAACCATCAGCCATTTCCTCCCTGGCATCCCTGGATCCGTGTCCGCCTTCCTAGGGCAAAGTTACTCTGTTGGCATTTAAAACATAGTGTTGACTTAACTGTCCTTCCAAACTAATGCCTTTTTTAACTTGGGCTGGGAGAAGCAACTGTAACAACTTTGGGAAGGTGGAAACAGGATAGCAAGCAACTCCAGGCTTTGTGGGGCTCCCCTGTAATCCCCCTTTATAGCAGCTGAGGCAGGAGGGTGGTAAGAGGGGATCTTTCTGGGCTGCATAGCAAGCCTTGTCTCCCAACATCAAAACTGGATGGCAGCCTGCTTCCTAAGGTGGGAGTTGGTTGCTGTCCCTTATGCGGTAAGCCAGGAGCCGTTCTCATAGCTGTTTTTTTTTTTTTTTTTTTTTGCCACCATCCCGTTTCCCTGAAGCTTCTACGTGTCCAGTTTCTGTTGGTCCCTTAGTCTGTTATGTTCTGTTGCATCTACTTAAAACACATTTTTCCCCCTCGATGTTGTGTCCTACCAAAGTTACTGACCTATTTCTTTTTAAAAGTATTTTTTTAATCATTTTAAATTACATGTGTTTCTGGGCACTTGAGTGCCAGGACCTAGGGGGTCTGAAGCTTCAGATACCCCTGGAGGTGGAATTATTACAAGCCTTTGTGAGCCACTTGGGTGTTGGGCACTGTGTCTGTGTCTTGGAGAGCAGTGTGCTCTCTTCAGAAAGAACCGTCTCTCCAGGCACTGCGGTCTTACTTTGCTCTTCATTGAGAAAGAGTAATCTTCCTTGTCAACTGGTGGAACCTGGGTAGAGGAACCGAAAGAATTTTCCTCATCAGTTTGGCCTTTGGGCATGTCTGTGGGACATTTTCTTGATTGCTAATTGGTGACGCTAATTGCTTCAGGTGGCTCTGGAATCTGCCCGCCCACTGTGGGCACCATCCATAGGCAAATGAGCCTGCGCTGTGTAAGAAAGGTTGCTGAAGTCATGGGAGCAAGCTGCCAGTCTCTGGGGTTTCTGCTTCAGTTCCAGCCTGAGCTCCTGCCCTGACTTCCCTCAGCGATGGACTGTGACCTGGAAGTGTAGTCAAATAAACCCTCTCTTCTCGTGGTTACTCAGGGGAAGTGTTTTAGCAACAGATAAGCAAAGTGGGATAGTTTTGTCAAAAAAAACAAACAAATCCAAACAAACAAAAAAAAAAACCTTTTATTACTCTGTGTGCGTGTGCGTGAGCACGCATGTGTGTGTGTGTGTGTGTGTTTGCTCACAAAGATGTGCATGCATGTAAGCAAGTGAACGCACGCCTGTGCCTGTCACAGGACAACTTGCAGGAGTCATTCCCTTTGGTCCTGGAGTTTGAACTCTGATCTTCAGGCTTGTTGACAAGTGTTTTCCCTGCTGAGTTATCTCATTGGCCCTGAGACTGGCCTTTTTGGAGAAAACAAAAATAAATACAAGGCAGACAGCCCCCTTGGAGCGGGGTAAGAACTGAGTAGCCTGGATGGGTAGGAGATTGGCACTGTTCTGAACAGACCTTTCCTAAGTGTTTCTGTTTACAGAAACAAATGTGTTAGTCTTGTTTATGTTCACCCCATAATGAGTTAATGACGGTGGGGAGGGGCTCTTGCAGAGGACCTGGATTTGACTCCCAGCACCCACATGGTGGTTCGTAACCATCCATAACTCCAGTTCCAGGAGATACAACACCTTCAGCCTCCTCGGGCTCCAGACACACGTTTGCATACCTATACACAGACATGAACATATACACATAAACAAGTGGGGGGGGCCTGTAGGATATGTTTCTTTTTTTTTTTTTTAGACTCCATAACTGAGTACACACAGCGAATAACCTAACATCAGAAGGAAAACATTTAACCCAGGTAGGGTTTGAACACAGGACCAACCACTGGGGAAGGAAAGCTTGAACTCTGCAGGTAGCTCTTACTAGCATGGCAGCAGTACAGCTGTCCTGAAGCCATCGTGTGTATACAGTCACAGCAAGAAGATGACAGTGGTGGTGTGAATGAGAAAGGCCACCATAGGCTCAGAGGCTTGTGTGTTTGAGTGCTTGGGCCCCAGTTGGTGGAACTGTTGGGGAAGGATTAGGAGGTGTGGCCTTGTTGGAGGAGGTGTGGCCTTGTCGGAGGAGGTGTGGCCTTGTTGGAGGAGGTGGTGGGAGTAGGCTTTGAGGTTTCAAAAGCCTATGCCAGGCCCACTGTCTGTCACCTACCTCCCTCCCTCCCTCTCTTCCTCCCTCCCTCCCTCCCTCCTTCCTTCCTGCTGGTCAGGATGTAAAGCTCGCAGCTACTGCTCCAGCACCATGCCTCTCTGTTTCCAACCATGATAACCATGGACTGATCCTTAAACTGTAAGCAAGCTCCTAAATGAATGTTTTCTTTTCTCAGAGTTGCCTTGGTCATGGTGTCTCTTCATGGCAGTAGAACAGTAACAAAGACAATGAATGAGCTTGATATTTTAGGAGCTAGACTTTTTACTCTGAGAGACAGAAAATAAGAAATAAGGGCTGGGTATGGAGTTCAGTTGGTAGAGTGCTTGCCTAGCATGCCAGAGCCCTGGCTTCCACCCCTAGCACCCTATAATCAGGTGTGGTGGCACATGTCTGTGATCCTAGCACTTGAGAGGTAGAACAGAGGGTCGGAAGCTCTAGATCACCCTTGGCTGCATAGCATGTTTTAGGTTAGAAAGGAAGGGCGGAAGGAGATAAGGAAGAGGCAGTGAAAAAGTATCTGGCATTCGATTGAGACTAATGGCATCAGTATGAACCTATGATTAAAAGATGTAAACACACTTGTATACATGAATATGTACACACTTGCAGTGTACGTACTGCATTCATACAACACACACACTCACTCACACAAACATATTCTCTCTCTCACATACACACACTGTCTCCCCCCCTTACACACACACATATTCTCTCTCTCTCTCTCTCTCTCTCTCTCTCTCTCTCTCACACACACACACATACACACACACACTCTCTCTCTCCCCCCCTCACACACACATATCCTCTCTCTCTCTCTCACACACACACACACTGTGTCCTCTGTCTCTCCCTCTCTCTTTCACACACACACACACACTCTGTCTCCTCTCTTTCTCTCACACACACAGACTCTCTCTCATACACACTGTCTCTCTGTCTCTGTCTGTCTCTCTCACACACACACTGTCTTCTCTGTCTCACACATACACACTCTGTCTCCTCTCTCTCACACACACAGACTCTCACACACACACACACTCTGTCTCTCTGTCTCTGTCTCTCTCTCTGTCTCTCTCTCTGTCTCTCTCTCTCTCTCTCTCTCTCTCTCACACACACACACACACACACACACACACACACACTCCTTAGCTCTGGCTGGTGAAAGCCGGGAAGCATGACACTGAAGTGGCCGTGAGCATGGCCAGTCCCTTTTCTAAATGAC